TGGGCAGCAAGGAAATCAAGTAACAGATCTCCCACCAGCTTCTCCTTGACAAAGGCTGAGGCTGCTGTCATGTCATGACACATGAGAGACCACCCTTGGTGTGAAATTTTGCCAATGAGCTGGAAAGCAGAGACAGCAATTCCAACCTGGGAGAAATCGGGCTGGCTAGAAGCAATGTGAGCTGGAAATGTGTAGCAGGTTGCAGCAAAACAGAGTACAATCCTCAAAAGCCATTTGACAGTTTGGCCCACAGAGGACCAAAATTAAATCTCAGCCTAAATATTTTTAAAGCTCTAAACAGAGCTTTAAATATCTAAACAGATATTAGAGCCAGGAGACATTGGCAGGTAGGAACTGGCAGGACAGACCCTCTGACTTCTCAGAGGCTGGGAAGGAGAATTTTCATGGTGATAAGAAGTGATCAGAGGACAAAGGAGCCAGTGCCAGCTACAGTGGGCTCCCACAGCAAGCAGCTGGGAAAGCCTTGAAGGTGTGGATAATACTTGCTCAGTACCTGCCTCAAAGGGAGCCCAGAAGATGAATTCAGCCTGAAATTGAGCTGAGGTAACAATGCTCTAAGCACTAACAAATCCTAGGCCTGGGGACATGGGGAAGAGCTCTTGCCCCTCAGAGCTTCAGAAGCTTCCAGTTGATTTCTGTGGAAACTCAATGGATCTCTAGTGGTGTTTTGCTCTGAATGTGCCTGCACAGCACTTGACTTTAGATTGCAAAGGTTTCCAGTGATCTTTGACTTGAGATTGCAAAGATTTCCAGTGATCTTTCAGTCAAGGCTCAATGGTGGCAATAAGGCGCTCAGCAGGACAAAAGACCTTAATGAAATACAGAACTTGCGCCCCACTTCAGATGTCATTCCTGCAGCAAGCAGCACTCCATGTGCTGGGGGTGCCTTGGAGAAGAGGGCCTAGGACATTAACTGTATGTGATGGGCAGCTCTAGATGCAAGGAAGGATAAAGGACAGCAACATATTTAGGAAGGAGTGATAATAAATTCCAAATGTAAACCTGGCTGAGTTATTTCATACTGTTTGTAGCTGTCACCCATAGCTCAACTCTTCCCCGACCTTTCTGCAATTAATGGATTTGAACTTTATCATATTTTTGTCTCAACCAGTTCAATCCCACAAGGCCTTTTTGGAAAGACACAGCTGTGCATGTGGTTGTTCACACCTGAACACATTTGACTTTGGTAGCCTTGCAGAAAACACATTAAAAACAACACCCTCTCTTCAAAACACCCCCCAAAAGCCTTCCCCATGTATTCCAACTGAAGGACAGCAGTGTTTTTGCTTTACCTGTGAAACTACTGCTCATTTCAGGTACATCATCCTCTTCCTCATTCTCTGTATGCACTATGCCAGCATTTTGCATATCATTGTAAGACTTGGTTCGCTTTGGAGTCGACTGCTTGGAGCCAGGCTGCAGGTTTTGCAGAGCATTGGTGGAAGTCACTTTCCCACTGAGGGGCTGGCTTGGAGGCTTCGGCGTTCCATAATAGTTACCTAGGCAATAGAGACACATTTGCATCTTCAAAAGAGAACAGTTTATGGCAGTAACTTTGCTATTTCATTTTCTTCATGGTTCCATTAAAATTGCCGTCCCTCCCCACAGATAAGTAAATAAAGAAGCTAACACGTGCCATTCCCATTTTTGGGGGTGCATGCTCCATCTGTACAGCAGAAATATTTCTTGCCTTTTTAGTTATTCTTGTGGAATCTAAAAGGAGAAGCAATGGTTGTATTGTTTAGGTGCACTGAGCGTACATGGGCTAAAACAAAAGGCAGTCATGGTGAATACAAAACTTCATCTCGTTACATCTGAATTTCAATTAGTAGCCTTTTTACATGTGTGCACCCACACAATGCTGTGGCAGATCTGGAGTGAGCCCTGCAGAAAATAAAAAATTCATGACTGCTATCACCAAGAGAAGTGATGAAAGGCTCCATGGCCTGTTTTAGTACACAGGTTCTTTTAGGGGGGATGTTGCATTTGGAAAGCAAACACTATTCTCTCTCTAAAAGAAAACTTAGTCAAAGGAGAGGAAAGGAAAGATACCACATGGGACGGCTTTCTTCAAAGAGGAAAATCAGCAGTTGGGTCAGTTTGGGAAGAAGTGACGAACCAGACCTTAAAGCTAAACTTAAAGGGGCACATGCTTGGAATCCATCCCAGCTGTGATGGAAACAGTGCAAAGTGTTTGTGCTGCCTCCCTGTCATTTTTAGTGACCATGGAAGAGACACAGAGTAAGTGGACATGCCAGAAGAGCACAGAGCTATTTCACTGGCCCTGTTTCACTTCACCTCCACACCACAGCAATGCTTGATTTGTCCTAAAATACTCCACCAGCAACCTCAGCTCTGGAATCTGCTCTCTCAGCACTGGGCATTACAGGAATTCAGACCCATTGCATGGTGAATCTTCTAATTTTTACACAATGACCTGCTACATACAACAGTTTTATATAAAACTACTCAAATTTTTTTCTTTCAAGAATTAATGTTAATTTTTATTTGCCATCTTCAGATTCCAAGAGTAGAGTTAAAAATTTTCCCTATGTTCTCTGACATGACAAAACACAAAGGATGCCCTCCCATATAGTTCAGTTGTGGCAACAGTGCAAAATTCTTCTCTAGAACATGCATTTATTTACATTCTTCATTGATCTCCACATGCTATATATAACCTGAAAGCATTATTTTTCAATTTCTCAATATATATTTTCTCAGCCACTGTAGGAGATCAGGTTTGAGACCATGTAAGGAACCTGAGGGTGCACAGGTTCATGGGAAATGATGAGGGGAACCTGCAGGTCCTGAGGCAACCTGGATGGATTTGCTACATCATTGTCTACCATGCTGGAGGAGTTGTGGCAACCAGGTGAAATTCCCACTGACTGTGAAAGGAAAAACAAACTCCTTTTTTATCTGGTGAAATTCCCACTGGCTGTAAAAGGAAAAACACAACCCCTTTTCTATGGAGGACCCAGGAAGAGTCTCCCCTCTGGGAGATGGATCATGGAGCAGATCCTCCTGGAAGGAGCTGGAATCACCCTGCCTTGCGCTGGCAGAGTCCAGCTGGGAAAACCACTTAGAAAAAACACTTGCAATCATTCCCCCTCACTGCCTCCTGCGAGGTGAAAAGGTATTTCTCACAGGAGGAAGGCAAGGAGCTCCCAGCTCCCTGCTCTCCCAGCTGCAGCAGCAGGACAGCGACACGTGCAGGTTTGTCTCTACAAGGTGTGCTCCAGCCTGCACACAGCAACGTGGATCCAGCTCCATGGGAGCAGCACTTTCATCTGCTGCTCATCATCTCAGAATCCTAAATGTACATTGATGCATAATTTATGGGGAGAAGGAAATTACTTCTTCTGGAAAGAGCCTCTAATGGGTACGGAGGCTCCGCAAGCAGGTTGCAGATTCTGCTGGAGAAATAATTCTTATGCTCTACATACTGCAGAACTGCTTTATACAAAAAGAGGTAGAATGGGGGAGAGAGTGCAAAGGGAAAATACAAACATAGGTTGCCATAAAAAAAAGGATAATTAACCCTGCTCCCATCTATCCATCTATCCTCTTGACATTTCTCATTAAGAGCAACACTACTCTGGGATTTTATGGTTATTGTTTTTAAATTTTTTTTTCAGGATTTTGCTTTGTTTGGTTTTCCAGGAAAAACAACCAAAAAAAGTGTTTTATAAGGATCTTAACTGCTAAGCAGAGAGAGCCATATGTGTGCCATCCACATGAAAACAACTTTTATTTCTAGCACTGCACACCACTATTTTATGCAAAAGTTATTTCAGGTCTGTTTTAACTGGTTAAACTCTTTGGGATGGACGCAACAAAAAGGATGAAGGGGATATATAGATGTTGATAGTGTGGGTTTTATTTCCCCTGGACAAGAACAAAGCACAGATGGTACCATCCCTCCTCCAATTATAGAGAAATGTATGATTTTATCTTTGAATTTTGTTCCTCTTCAGTTCCTCTAGCAGCACCAAAGCTGGAGTTCCTACCAGTCCACAGAGAGCTGTTCCTCAACAGAAAAACAGGAATATTTCTCTAAAGTGTTTCAGGTTTTCCTACACCACAATCATTAGTCATTTTTCAAACCACCCATGGTTGTTGGCACTAACATTAGTGAATAATTACTCTCTATCAAGACAGTGTGTTGTCTTAGAGGATCCCTGTAAAAATAAATGAGTTTATAAAAAGAGCAAATATGAATTTGAAACTGAGCATGGCTCTGTATGTGTGGGGTTTATGGGAAATGAAGCCACTGGGGCTGAACTTTTCTTTTTTCACCACAGGAGGCAGATTAAGCCTGAGTCAATATTCGGAAAAATCAGAGTTCTTCCTTCAGATTCACACAAGGACAAACAGGTTGGGGAAATAAACCAGCTCATGACGAAAATCTTTAAAAGAATGCTCCAACCCAGCTTCCAGGTGGAATGGAAAATAAGTGAAAATGGAAATGGTCTCTTTCCCTCATGTTTGCTGGATGCAGTCAGCCCTATTTCTCTTCTCCATGCAGTTATTTTTGAAGACATGGCATGTGGGCCTGGGCGTGGGAGCAGACACACTATTGGGGGGGACTGGTAAAAATAATCATCAAACCTCAAGTTTCATCCTCAAAATTGGAAATAGAAAATATTTACACTGTGACTCAGAAATCCAAACATGCTCCATTAACAACTGACAGTGAACAGCCCAGCAAGAGTTTTATAACACTCAGACTTGACATTATTCATTCAAATTAAATCTATCAATGTTTATGAAAAAACATAAATTTAAAAATAGACTTTAACAGTGTTTTGTGAGCCACTTGTAAGCCTAGGGAAGGGGCTAACTTCATAGCCAGTGTAATTTGTACTGAATATCCAATCAGCTCTAATTATTAACAGCATGTTACATGTGCATACACAAGCATCTGTCATCCCAGAGGATCCCAAAACGTTTTCCGGAGTCAGCACAGCAGTTGGGGCAGGACTCCCTGGGGTGCTGAGCTCAGGTGAAGTTCTGCAAAACTTCTGAGGATTCTGACCCCAACAGGATGTCTCTGTTCCCCCAGACAATGGAGATTTCTGGGACAGGACTGCAGGAAACTCCCTACTTTTCTGTGGAAATGCCAGTTCTGAAGCAGCCAGCATGGCAGGAATGGCACTTCCCACATCCAATTCCTACGGGAACTGAACCTCTACCCCTTACCCTCTTCTCAATCCCATTTGGATCCTGCCTAGCACCTGAATTAATAGCTAATAACAACCCATTCACTCCACTGATGCACATACCATTAACTAAATCCCTTGTCATCATTTTTCACTAGCCATTATTTTATTCAGTCCCTTGGTGCTTAAAACTTACTTAACCACAGCTGAAGTTTGATGGCAGCATCTGCAGCCAAATCCATGACTTAATCCATGCACACTAAAGCACCACTCAGGAGAGTGCACAAAAATAACAATAATAATGAATAAACCCAAACAGAAGAGCTATTTGGAATGAGCTGGTTTCTTTTCATCTCCTTATCTTTAAGTGTCGGCAGCTTACACATTTTAGCATCACACCCAGTAATTAGACTTTGGTAACAGCTTATCACAACAATAAGACAAGTTCTCATCATCATAACACTTCCTGCTCTGCCAATTCAAGCAGTGATCACAATCAATGAAAGCAATCTACAGCAGCTTCCACCCTGTCCTGAATTAAAGCAACACTGTCAGCCAAGAGAACTTTCTTTTTAAGTTTTAGAAACCAAGTGGCAGTGGAAAATTTGTCTTATGTTTCAAATAACAAAGCATTCTTATTAAGTATTCCCCTGGTGAGCAGTAAGCTCACCTTAAATGGTTTATTGACCTGGAATTAAAATACAATTCACAAAAATACACCAACTAGCTACCCTCAAGTACAATATCTATGAATCTATTCCATAAACCCCTTGAACTGACACTACTGAGTCCATTCCATTTGTGTTGCAAGGACTCCATCCAGCCAAGGTGCTGTTTCTGGAATGGGTAGAAATGCACAGGAAGAGAGGCACAATCTAACAGGTTCAAATGTGGGATGGACACTAAAGCAGAGAGGGAAGAGGAGACCATGGAGGCTGCTGGGGTGGGACAGGGAGCTGACATGGAGAAGTGCAAGAAGGCAGAGCAGCTGACTGCAAGGTGAAACAGGAGTTTGAGCATTAATTCTAATAGTGCAATTACAGCAATTGAAGAATGTGCTCCCAAACCACATATTTGAGTTACTTTAATCTGCAGGCGTTTGCTCTGCAGCAGCTATTCTCCTTTCTGGTGGAAAGGTGTCTACACCTGGGACTGGGAGTGCATTTGTGTCTCAGCAAAAGAAGAGCTCATGCAGTTCAGAATTTACTGATGCCTATGTGTGAAGTCTAATTTTGCAATTATAAGAATCCCAAGAAACTCAAAAGCCTCTGTGCAGCACAGAGGGCTCTGCGTCCATGAGAAGTACATCTCATCTTCAAAGAGACCACTCTGTGCTAACAAGGACTCCAATAATAGCTCATGTTTTAAAAAGCACTTCATAGCTTTCCGTCTTGGTGCAAATGGGTATTTTGGGAAAGACACTTGGAGATAAGCAGCAAAATTAAGCAAGGCCTTGACACAAAGACTTGAAATGCAATTATTAATGTAATTGTTTTATTTTCTGAGATTCAGCTCCTCTTCTCTGCACTGTACAAGAACCAAAACAATTGACCCTTAATTTTAGCAGAAGAGCTTCTGTTCATCTAATCCAGCAAGAGTGCTTGTGTCTGATTAGCACAGGATGAATTGGTTCCTGGGAGCAGAGCTCCTGCCATGGTGTTTTGTCTGTTCTCCTCCCAGATCACATTCTGCTACAGATTTCCACATTTAGATGACAGATCTGGCTGCTGTCTGTGGGATTCACCTAGCTGCAACTGCACATTGATTAGCAATTGCCTTGAGGAAATTCAGAGTATCCAGGCAACCGGGAGGAGGCTGCGGATGCAGCATCTGGATGGGAAGGAAAACAGGCAATGAAGGAGAGCTCAGAGAAATGAACCTGCAATATATCCATTAATGAACCTGCAATACATCCATTGGCTTTAATAGGAGATTCACTGTCAGTTCCTGCAGTTATTAACGATGAGGTTAAATGAAAGATCAGTTTGGGTTTCTTGTTGAGTAAGTCAAACTGTTACAAACTGCACATTTCAATTAGGTCTGAAATTTAACATATACTCCAATTAGTATCCTGAAGGCAGTGACAGCATGGGAGAAAGTCGCCCACAAAACAAATCACTCTTCTTATTCTGATTTTTGCTGTGCTGTCACTAGGTGTTGCACATGCCATTGTTAGTACTCATGTACAAGTGAATCCAAACACTTGGAAAAATCCTAAAACAAAGCAATGATACTAAAAGTAATAAATAAACAGTACAAACTGCATGTAGCAGGAGGGGGCTGGAGAGGCTCAGGGTGTTCCATGAGACCAGCTCTGTTACATCAACTGCTACATCCACAGACAAATAGATTAAAAAAACATCGTAGGGAACATAAATAAACACGTACTTGTGTATGGTATATACAGAAAACAGGAGAAGCAGCTGGAAACACCCTACCTAGCATAGGGCTGTAGGAATAAAGAAAATACCCTGTCAAGCCTCTGCAATATGAAAGTCTTCTTCTTGCAAACAGTTAAATATTTATACATAGAGTCCCACCATGAGGATGTGCCCCATTAGCACCTTCCCTCTCTGGAAGGCAGTGGCAGTGAGCTCTGCAGGCAGGGAAATGCTGCAGGCTGCAGAGGCCAGGCTGCCTCTGCAGAGGAGCTGGGTAACACCAGAAAGGGGCAGCCACTTTTGGAGAACCCCAAGAACACTCTGCACCAAAAAAAAAACATGGCAAAATGTGCCTGGACTGCTAGGAACAGCCTTCAACACATCAAACTATGGTTACAAGTAAATGATGCCTAAAATAACCTGAACTCTAACTTAAAAAGAAAACAACTAATCCACAATTCTCTTTTTTTTGCCAGAGATGTTTGGGAACCTTTTCCCTGAGGTTTGTGTTTTAAAACACATGACTGCTAATGAACCATTTCTGACAGAGCTCACATTGAGAAACTCACATTGAAAGTGCAGAGAGAGAGAGAAGTCAGTCAGGAATGCCACAAGAAATTCAAAGCCACTCTAAACCCCTATCAGCTATTTGAATATTTGCTTTTAGAGAAGAGTTACTCAGGTACCACTTCAGCTGTTTGCAGAATGAAGCATTGTGATCCGATGACACTTCAGTACAGCAGCACTCATGATCAGTTAGCACTGATAATTGTGCATATACACAACAAGGTGTTGCCCTTTTTTCTCTACTAGTGGTTTAAAAACAACAACAAAAAAGCAAGCAAAGTATTAAGAGCCAAAAATAGAAGAGGAATCATTCTGCAGTGCACAGGTATCAGTATGTGGATATTCACTGTGACACGTTATAATGGTGCTAAAGAAACCATTGTGATTTATTGAGTCAATCTCTGGTCTGGAGACAAAAATCAGTGTGTCTGATCTTATTCACCTGCATGGGCATCTCCAGCATCTGCCACCCTTCCTTGCCCCATTTTCCCCTTGTGTTCTGCCTGCCACAGGCTCAGCTCTCATTTCCAGGTGGGACTGAGCTGGTGTCACCAACCATCGACTCATTTTGCTAAAGCAGCTGGGGTAGTGTGGCTGCTGCAGAGAAACCAAGGAGAGCCAGCACATCAGATAAATTAGTCTAAAGGCATCTTGATTTGAAGCATGTTGCTGAATACACCTCTCCACTTCGGCTGAAATCCAAACTGCACTATTAATGTAATTTATTATGATCATTAAGTACCACAATCGGAGACCCTGTCCACAGTAGCCAGTTTTATATACTTTCAAAATGTTAGCAAGTCACCCCATTACATCTTAGTCATGAGACTAATGCTGATTACTTATTACTTCTCTTGGCAATCACATAACACTTGTCCTGAGAATGAAAGATGATGCCTTGACAATAATACTCCATAATGTAATAACCCTTCACTTGTTATAAAGTGCTGCACTTTTTCTTTTGAGGATCACTAAGTGCTGGGCAGGCATTCATTCACACAGCCCCACCAAACCCTGGTGGTAGCCATCCTCACCCAAAATCCAGCCACCGTGCCCCTGTCCCCATGTGTCTCTGCACAGCTCCCATCTGCAGGGTTGCCTGAATTCAGCACAGCACCCCAGAACAGCCTGGCTTCCACTCTCCCCCTCCTATTTGAAACAGCAGATAGCTGCAGGCACAGGGCATCTGCTGAAATATTAATGAAGAGAGAACTATGTGTTGTTTTAATATTCTCCAGGCCAGTAACCTGAAGTATAGAGCAGTTACCTGATCTGCTCAGGACCACTCAGCAGCTGGGGAAAAAAAACAGAATAAAATCTGGAAGTGGTGACTGTGCTCAAAGCAGGCCTCCCTTGGGGTGCCTGTGAGAGCCCACAGCTCAAATACAGAAGTAATTGCTAAATAATTAGTAACCTACACAATTATTTCCATGCATCCATCAGTATTTTCTTCCCTGAAGGAGCAGTCAATAAATGCCTGAGACTACAATTACAGTGATTTCCTACCCACCAGAAGGCCTAGACGATGTGCAGCCTAAAAAGAATTTTCTTTCCTAATGTGTATTATCAATGGGAATTTCTAACTGGATTGAATGTGTTGTGTGCAGCACACACATGGAGCAAAATCTTCAATACTGGGGCAGCATCACAGCTTTGGGTAGTTCCTACAGCTCCAGTTGCTGCATTCATGTGATCAACATGTAGCTGTCATCGGGGCAGCAAAGATGTTTTTGGGCTTTATGGTTAAAACTCAGGATATTAAAACCCAAACCCCAGGAATTTAGGTTTGTCAGTGCCCCCTCCCACCTGACTGCATTTTTTGAAGCCTTTTGGGTGCAGAACACACCAGGGAGATGAGAGGTGACCAGAACAGCAGCTGCCATGCCCACTCTGCCTTCACTGGGATGTGAATCAAAAGCTGCTCAGAGGAACCTATTTGTAGAGCACCAGGAGAAATAATAATGGCAT